ACAGCAGAGTTCTATCGCTCTGCACGCATCTTCCGCGATATCCTCATGGTGTGCCCATCGCTACATCTGGGTGTTGCAATTGACAAAGTGCACAAAGCGCCAGTCTACTTCTACAACTTCAACCAGACAATACTTGATCCCATCCTCGAGTACACCGAAGACGTTGTTGGCTTTGGCGTGGTACACACGTCTGAGTTTGCGTACGTCTTCGACAGCATGCAAGTGTACAACAAGACGGACTACCCGTTTGACCCGACCGAGTACGACTACGAAATTGCTATGCGAGCAAGCCGGTCGTGGAGCACCTTTGTGAGTCAAGGAGCCCCGGCAGAGAGCGGATCACAATCCACCACATTGTTGAACTGGGATGAGGCATTTAGCCGGCCAGGTAAAATCTCTCATTTGCGAACTGCGTGTGAGGCATGCGCTGACTCCGTACATTAACATTTAGGCGGTCCGTATGTCAGGACGATTGGTGGCGCGCATCCGAGCAATAGTGCGCTGGGCATGGCGAACGCGACAAGAGAGATGGCAGAACAGAGATTACAGGAGCGATGTGCTTTCTTTAACAGTCCGAAGATCATCCAAGCGCTTCAGTATTGAGGAGTAGCTCAGTCTGAGACAAGGTCTCTCAGTATGGGCAGTACAGGGTGTGAAATACATAAAGACGTTGTCGACGATACAACATGAAACGGGAATTTTACAAGGGGTATCTCAGATCGATTCACGACATAATCAAGCTTCTACGACTGCATGTGGCGCACCTCTCTACTCTGCCTGAACTTCCTTGCTGTCCGTGGCCAACCCCAAAATAAACTCCCACTCCTCCTTCCTTACCCTACTCACACTCAGTCTCGAATTCGTGACAAGCTGCATATCCTTCAACGGCCCCTCTTTAGCAAACTCTTTAATCTTCGCTAAATCTATCACATGCTCAAACTCGCTCACAAACTCGACGTCTACACAGAACCATTTGGGCTTCTCCCTCTCGCTCTTCTTGTCATAGTAGGGGTCCTTGGGGTCAAAGGCCGTCTCATCGACCTTTGCTTCGTCAACAACACGCAGTATACCTACGATACCCGAAGGCTTGGCGTTGGAGTGGTAGAAGAAGCCCAGGTCGCCTTTGCGCATGGCCTGCATATTGTTGCGTGCCTGGGGGTTGCGGACGCCGCTCCAGGGCTCGGGTTCTGTGCAGGCGCGCAGGTCGCTGATGGAGAAGGCGACGTTTACGCCGTTCTCGTAGCGCGCGAGGGGCTCGGCTTTGAGCAGCCAGTAGACTTCTTGGGCGCCGGTCGCGTCGCGGTTGGTGGATGAAACAGGCGCGGGTAGAGAGTTCGTCTTAGGGGGTTTAGGCTTGGCTGTAGCAGCTTTTTTGGGCGGAGGAGCGCTGCTGTCTGTTTTGTCTTGGTCGGCGCCGTCTTCGCGGTCACGCTTGCGATGCGTCGCCTGCCGGGCATCGCGCTTGGGCTGTGTCTCTTCGGCGGACGAAGTGTCGTCTTGGTTGTAGTCCGGTGCTGCCGCTGCCGTTTGACGCGTAGATCTTCGTGTGCCGGCCATGACGAGGTTGTGGTAGCGTTGCAATGCTCGTCGACGTGGAGGTGCTGTACGCCGCGAGCGTGCAGCGCTCTGACGCTATTGGCTGACATCTCTCGTGTTTGCCGCTTGTACTTCGCTCCGCACCTCGACACAGTACTTGCCACCCAAAGGACGTTGGAAGGACATTGGAAGGACATTGTATGGGCAGAACCCCGTCAAAATGTCCCTCGACGACCCAACTAGCCGTGCTCCGCTATGATACTGTGTAGGCACCTCCTCGGTCTGAGGCCATGCGCGCGATCACGCGCACCGCGGCGCAAAGTCAAATATTCAAACCAGAACCCTCGGCCTTGCCGTGTCGCAATGCTCAAGCGGCAGTACTCGCGCAGCCCTTGCCATAACCCAGCGGTTTCCTCCACGTTCAATTTCGACCCATGCCGAGCGCATCGGACAGCCGCCACAAGCAGCAATCACCCAAACCACGGCGCGGCAATGAGAGGCGCAAACAACGATCATCCAAGCCCTATCTTAGGCCCGGCCGTTGCATGCACGATCCGGGACCGCCGCTTTCCTCCCTAGCGGTCGTGTCCTTGCACATCACGGTCCGGCCAACTGCCTCAACCTAGACAAGTTCATGCAACTCTACGGAGCACCCCACTAAATTTATAGACCCGACAACGCCGCTACGGACGTAGCTACGACGAAAACTCCGCTTGGGTAGTAGTACCTACCTAGCAAAGACCAACATTCGGCCGACATGGACTCCATTTGTGAGGGACAAGATGAAACGAGACTTGGCACTGGTATACATAGAAGACTCTTGCCCTTTCTTTACCAATTACAACAAGCCATTTCAAGTACGTTGCATTGAGATCAACCATGGACGCTTTCACCAAGAAGACCCTGAGAACCTCCCGAGGCATCACATACACCTACTACACGTGCTCTGGCAACACGTCTCTCCCAACCCTCCTCTTCCAACACGGCTTCCCCGACCATGCCGCCATGTGGGCAGACGTCGCTAGCTCTCTCCGACCACTAAACCACCCCGTTATCATTCCCGACATGCTGGGCTACGACGGAACGGACAAGCCCACAGACCCATCCGCCTACACCTGGGACCATATGACCAACGACATGGTGGAAATCCTCAATGCTGAACAAGTGCCAAGATGCATCTCCATCGGCCACGACTGGGGCTCCGCAGCCGCAAGCCGCCTGTACAACTACCACCCCGAACGCGTTGTCGGCTTGGTCAACCTGAACGTCGCCTACACGGCACCAAGTCGCAAACCCTTCGATCTTGACGCCGCAAACGCCCTCATGAACAAGATCTTTGGCTACCCATCGCTATCGTACTGGTACCTCTTCACCGCGCCTGACGGACCAGCACTTCTATCCCGCGATATAGAGGCCATGTTCAACATGATGCACGACAAAGATGGATTGAAAGAGTTCTTCTGCACACCCGACACCATGCGTGAAACACTCTCCGGGCAAAAGGAACCAACCTTTTCTCTCCGACCCTATGCGCAAGACCCAGCTTTCAAGAAGGCGTTCCTTGATCGTATGGCGCGCGATGGGTTCGAAGCGCCCGTGTGCTGGTATAAAGCCATGACAGGCAATCTGCAGCATCAAGTCGATGTCAAGTTGCCTGAAGGGAGAGAGATTGTCAATGTACCCACGCTGTACATCGGATGCAGAGAGGATGTGGTGTGCAGACCCGAAGCCATGTATGAGAGTATTAAAAAGGGCTTGTTGCCGCAATTGGAACAAGCGGATATGATTGATGCGGCGCATTGGGCGACGTATGAGAAGCCTGCCGAGGTGGTGAAGCGGTTGGAGGATTGGCTGAAGAGGAAGTTTGCGCAGTGAGTCTGCGTAGCATCGGCAGCTGACTATCTATGCATAAAACTTAGATAGATGTGACATGGTTTGCAGGAAACAGTTTTCCAACACCACAGTAAACACCCCAATACCAGTCTCCATTGATATCAGCTGCTTCCCTTATCTCTGCTCCTCTAGGAAAGGATAACTCATCTTCTACTCCTTCATCCGGCAGATAGCCCCATCTAGCCAGTAATCTCAAGCCTATACCGCCATCTGGTGGGTACCGCTGTACTCTGGCCATTTCGTCTTCTTCTTTCAGTGCGTAGCCGCCTACTAGATCGCGGACAACCATGCGCCGTTGTGCGCCGTCACGGTCTTCGAATCCTACAATGTACATGCGATGGCTGCGGAGGCACTTGCGCCATCCGTTTACGCCGTCTTCTTTGGTGATGCGACCGCTGATGACGAGTTTGTGGTAGCAGCTCATGCAAATGTCGTAGTCGCCAGTGTTACACTTGAGGCAGTGATAGCGTGTGTTTGATGGTGGGATAGGGTAACTGCATATGTTACACAAGGTTGTAAAGGTGAGAGGGCGGAAGATGAAATTCGCAATGGTAAAGTACCCTGGCCCTCGCATAAGAGACGCGGATTTCGGTGTCAACGGAGGGGTTGTGGGTGTTGCGTCGAGGTCTGGGGGGGCAAGATGTCCATCCTGATGTGGCGTAGAGGGCGCGGAGGGAATTGTGTCAGTAACAGACTGCGAGTCTCTTGTCTTGCGGGCAACGGGAACAAGAGGATGCGTACAGTGATGCCCCTGGTTAACGCAATCATTGCAGTAGCCCCAGTCACCGTCGTTGCAATAGTCACATTTCCAGTAGCAGGCGTTGGCGTATGCCTTGCACATATCGCAGAAGACGCCAATTTCTACCCTCTGCTTGGGGTCATCCTCGCTCATGAGCACATGTGGTGGTGTCGTGGATTCCGTCAAGGGCGTCATGGGTCTGCGATATCGGTGCCCGACCAGGATATGGGGATGCTCGTGATAGGGCGGATAACCACCCTCTGGTGCTTCGCGCTCATACCGGGGCCAAGCAGTCCAGCCAAAGCCGTACCAATGCTTGCATCCTCTGCCAAGACGATAGCAGCGAAGACACACGTTGTACTCGCCACCATGGCAGCGTCGACAATTGTAGTGAAGCTCGTACTGTATGTCGTTTTTACCACAGCGTTGGCATGCCACATGGGGCTCTGTATATAGGACAGGAGTACCTAGTGATGAGCTTGAAGCTTGTCTCGATCGAGTCTCGCTCACGGTCGGATCGGGGGTGGAGCGAGGGAAAGCAGGAGGCGATAGCGAGGGGGGAGTAGTACTGTGAGAAGAGCGTGGCAGTTCGGCTGTGGTAGGGTCGGTAGTACGGCGAGCCGAAGGAGGCTGGAAAGGCGTGACGGCAGGAGTAGAGGAAGACGAGGGCACAGCTGGAGTGCCAACTGTAGCTAGAGAAGTCGTTGGACTGCCGCTGTTGGGCAGATCGAAGCCGAGGCTCTGGGGCGAGCTAGGACTTGACACTGTCTCATTGTTGTTATTGTTGTTGCTGGCGTGGAGACTGATGCGGAACTGCTCTCGAACGTCGAGCCTATTTCTCTGCTGATTTTCGGACTGTCGCCGTGGCCTTGGACGAGCGAGTTCCGATGATGAATGACAGTCGCCGGTCGCCGGATTTGCAGGAGCCGAGCCAGGTGCAGGGCGCTCTACCCTCGTGGCGGATCGAGAGCTGCCCTGGCTTGACGATCGCTGGCGCGGTGCCCGCCCGCCTCGATTTGCGGCGTCGATGAGAGCAGGTCTGGATATGGGGGGTCCTACTGCCGTCTGGGGCGTCGATGCGCCACTCTCGGAACGTCCATGCCTTCTCCTGCGCGCAGCTTCGTCGTCCAGACGCTCCCGCCTCTCCCTCCTCTCGCGCTGTCTTTCGGCATGTCGCTCTGCCTGCCGCCGTCGCACAGCCTCGGCTATCCTCTCGGTGATCTCGTCTTCCTGCGCAGTGCCAATCTGGTTCAGGTCGACGCCCTCGGACACGAGCTCCTCCAGCACCTGGCGCACGAGATCTTCGTCGACGTCTTCTGCGTCGAGGTCCGAGGCGCTCAGCAGAGAGCGCAGGCTGGACTGGTGCTCGATGGCGCGGGGCGGTATGACGGCCCTGGACGGGGATGCGCCGGGCGGATTTTGGCTGGCAGACCGCCTCCCGTTGCGGCTTCGCTCCCTTGTTGTGCGCTCTCTCCGAGGCTCCCGGCTGGCCCTCCTGCTGCTTGCGATGCCCGCGTCCCTCAGACTCGGCTGCTGAGCTGCCTCGAGCATGCGCTGATGGGTGTCATCGCGCTCATCCCGGCGCCTGAGCTTGGGTAGCACATTGTCGCCTGGCCGGTATCTGTCGCGGTCCGCCTGCTTCTCTTGGGCGCTTTTGCCGCTCTGGGGGTTCGCCTTGAGGAAGATGTCGAGCAGCGTGGTGACGGTGGCATTGGGCTGTGTGGTGCGCACCGAGGCCCGGCACGAGGGGCAGGTGTACGGGTGTATCGACGTGGCGGTCGAGGCTTGGAAGGCGAACCACTCCTTCAGACAGGCGCCGCAGAAGGTGTGCAGGCAGTCGAGCAGCGTGAGCGGCTGGTAGAGCACGTCGGTACAGATCTGGCCATGGCCGAGTTAGCAGCCGCCTCGTCGCCGTGCCCCTCGACTTACCGAGCACGTCAGTTCCTTTTCCAGGTCGCCCTGGACTCCGCCAGCGCCCTCGCCCTCGGCCATGGTTCGTCGCAAACTGCTCGTCAGGCGCCTGCGGTTGACTCTCAGCTAGACTGCACACTTGGCGAGCCTCGACGGTACAAGGCGCCGTAGCATATGCATGCCAGCACACGCTTTCATCGGCCCGCTGCAGCCTCTATGTTGCTTGCCGCAACGAGCGCACACTTCTCATGTCGCTACGTCACGCGACTTGCGCACGTGTCAGCACCTCAGAACCCCGGAGTCGGTGAGAGACGGCATCAAACATCCGACATGTCGTGACCAGCACAGGCGCCTGACGCCTCGTCCGTCTCGCACCCTCCCATTTTGGCATATATCAAGCTATCCGGTCCTGTAGCACCTGATGTTTGGTACATCGTTTCACCTGTGCTGCAGCCACCGCAACTTGCCCCTGGCCCAGGCGTACCCAAGACACGGTTCACGTCACTGGCTTCTTTCCGCGACCGTCAGGTATCCACGCGTTCACGCCTGAGGTTTCGAAACCTTGATCTTCAAGTCAGTGCCATCGCATGCAAGTCCAAAACAGAAAGACTGGGCGGCAGGCTCATAAATCGCATATCTACAACTATATCATATAATCCCTTCCTTCCTCATACATTCTTACATACAGGCTCCCACAGTCATCCCCCCTTTCAACCATTATTCTTATATACAGAAAAGACCGATTGGCTAGTCGCCAGCACATAGCCGTCACCTTGCTAATCCTTCACATCATCTTCTCAATCAAGTACCAAGCCTAGTGCTCAGTTGTTGTTGTTGTTGTTGTTGTTGTTGTTGCCACCGTTGCCGCCCTGAGACTGTTGTCCAGCACCATTACCTGCCTGTTGGGGCTGGTTACCTCCGGCCTGGGTCTGACCCTGAGATGCTTGGCCAGCAGCCGCACCGTTGCCTGCCTGTTGCTGGGAACCGCCGTTTTGCGTCTGACCTTGAGACTGCTGTCCTGCAGCCGCACCCTTGGTTCCCTGCTGTTGGTTGCCATTGTTCTGGTTACCGCCATTTGGTGTTGCCTGTTGTCCATTTTGCTGTCCTTGCTGCTGTCCCTGCTGCTGTCCCGTTTGTTGTCCGGCTTGTTGACCTTGTTGTGGAACCTGCTGTCCAGCGGCACCTTGAGCCCCCTGCTGGGGAGCTTGAACACCTGTAGTTCCCTGGGGTGCTTGTCCGTTGGTAGGGGAGATGCCGGCGCCTTGCTGAGGCGCTTGTCCGTTGTTCGTAGCGGTGCCAGTATTGCCGGCGGCAGCACCACCAGCTGTTCCGGTATTCTGGACTTGGCCATTGCCAGTTCCTTGAGCAAGAGCCTGACCAGCGGCAAATGCAGCGGCGGGGCTACCTGCTGGCGCACCAGGCTGAGTGGGGCCAGTCCCCTGGACACCACCAGCAACGCCAGTCTGGTCGCAGACAGTGGGACGAACTGCCTGCGAGGTAGATCCAGTAGAGGCCATGTAGGCATCAATGTTGGGGAGGACGTTAACGCAGCGGTTCTGGTTGATCAAGTCGATGTTACCAGCGGCAGCCATTCCCTGAACAGACATCTGCTGAAGCTTGTCGACGACATCCTGGAAAGAACCGCCAGTGGCGAGGGTGCTGTTGGCAGCAATGACATTGGGGTCCGCGCCATTAGCAGCGTCAATGATGGCCTTGTGGTTGAGCTCATCGACCTCGGCGTTGAAGGCTACGGTGGCAGCCTGCTTGAACTGAACGTTGTTCTGGATGCTAGCTCCAGTGTTGAGGAAGTTAGAAACCATCGAGGTATCGGCCATCCAATTGGAGACCGCAGTAGCGAGGTCGTTCGCAGTGGGAGTTTGTCCATTTTGGATACCAGCGCCAAGTCCAGTCGGGGCATTGGTGGTGCCTTGCTGTTGCTGGTTTCCGGTCTGCGCTCCTTGTTGCTGTTGTTGCTGATTGCCGCCCTGGTTCGTAGTCTGTTGACCAGTCGTGGCGGCAGCAGTATTGCCGTTACCACCGTTGCCGCCCTGCACCTGGGCGAATGGGGCAGCGTAAGCTGCAGAGCTAAGGAGCGAGGCAATGAAAATGTACTTCATTTTGTCTGTGAGAACGGATCTGTCGAGTGGACTAAGATTATGAGTAGAGATATCAAAGAGTGAATGGAATGCTGAGGCTGTAGAGTGGAAAATATTAGTCTGTAGTGAGTGAGGAACCAGTCCGATGAAGACTATCAGGATGATGGGAGCTGTGGTATTTGTATCGCCTCTGTTACAACTTCGGAAAGCCTTGCCGTCAAGGCATGATGGTGGGCAGGCCTATGCATCGTAACAGTCTGGGGATCAAGCCCTAGGGCTCGCAGCCCTTGGCGTCAAGTCAGGTAGCACACGCTTAGCTCAATGGCGTAGTTTCGAAGTATGCCATATTTTGAATCAGGCGCTTCCAAATGGCCTTCCAAATTGCCGAGACCCTCAAAGCGAGCGATGCCGAAGTTCAGCCCTAAACTCAAACAGGACGTTTCGCAAGGTACGCCATGTCGTGCATGTAAGTTGGATTAGTTAATGATGTTTTGCAAGCCGATGTCATTGTTTTGACAGCGTCTGGGAACAGGTTTCGTCGGTCTTGGCGCCCGAAGCTTGCAGGCGATCATCAGATCTTGTGTTGAACCTTAGTCCAAACGCCCCACAATTGTTCCAGATCGACACAGGCAGGCTTCAGGTCGCCCAATTCCTGTTGCGTGCTCATACGACTTGATCGCGCTGTGTATCTGTGGATTAGATCCTTGAGTACGCACAATGATGCTCCATTAGACTGTAGAGATGTGTAAGCAAAAAGCTTTACGATATTGTTTGTTGTAAACAATTTGTCAAGATAAACAAGTTTCGCGTCGAATCTGTTCATAATCGTATCCGTATTGCAAATATCTAAGATCTTAGAGGATCTTCAGAGGCGTGCAATCATTCATCGCCCCGTTTGGAAAATGCTGAGGGAAGCGGGAAGCGGCAAGAAGCGCTAGAGTCCACTAAAGCACGGCGTAACAAGGTCTGGTGTATCAGTTGCAGGAGCAGCAGAGATTTGTAGGGAGGTTTATGCGACTGTAGCCTTCTCTTCTTACATTGCCATTCCAAATGCAGTTCGGCGTCCGAGAGAACTCGTGATGCTCGATTTGAGAGTTGTGAAACTGCCGCTCGTAACGAGGGGAAGCTCATTGCGAGGGTGACTGATATACAAGTCAGTGCTGCAGGTCGTTCTGCCTGCCAGCATGGCGACTATTGCTTTCAGAGTCCATTTCGGTCTCGATCTTGCGGATGATGCGAGCGGGATTGCCAGCGACGACTGTAAACTCTGGGACGCTCTTCGTAACGACGCTTCCTGCGCCTACGACGCTACCTCTACCAATCATAACACCAGGCAGTATGCAAACATTGCCACCGATCCAGCAGTCTTCGCCAACGTGGATCTCCTTGCCCAACTCAGGCCCGCTAAGGCCGTTCCGGATGGCTGGGTCGAGAGGATGAGTAGCTGAGTAGAAGTTGACGTTCGGACCGACGAGTGTGCGTGCGCCAATAGTAGTAAGACAGGTGTCGAGGAAGACGGCGTGGAAGTTGACAAAGACATGCTTGCCCAAACGCACATTATATCCATAGTCCATAGTAACCGGTGGGTTAATCCATGGTTCAGCCTCGAACAGCTTGGCGTCTTCTTCTGTTGTAGGTGCTGGTGGTGGAAGAGGGGTTTCGTCTTGGATGATGCTAGGCAAAGTATAAGGACGTCTCTCGACAAGCAATCGAGCAGCCACACATACTCTCGAAACAGTTGGACTAGCCTGCGACGCGGTACATCACCGGCATCGTTGAAGCGTCTGCAAGCTTGCCTGCATCGTGCGCGCTCTGCTGTCAGCTCAGGCGTCATGGCATGGTAGAGCTCGCCGCAGAGCATACGCTGCTTGTTCTGCGAGATGTCCATGGCTGGCATGCAGGAAGCTGGCTGCCCGGCGCATGCTACCGAGGCCGGTGTGACGGTTGTGAAGGAGCACAGGTCGCGGGAGCTATGCGCGGGGCGCCAAGGCCCTCGGCTGTTCCCGAGGCCAGCCGGTCCTGGATAGTCGCTCACGCCTTGCTATTGTTCGGCCTCCGCAAGCCATGCGATCGGGGTTGTGCAGCAGGGCCCCTTCTTCTGCGCCTTGGTAGAACCATGTCTTGAACGCCATCGTCCATCCCGTCCTCGCCCCCCGAGCTCCCCGTACTTGACCTCTACCTGCCTGCCATCATCATGGCTCCGAACGGCTCGCTATCCCCCGGTGTCGATATTCTCCCGCCCAACGGAAATGCATCACGCGAGCTTGAGGCCTCAGCTGTGGCGGCTAGGAGCCAGCATGCCATCGCGCCCGAGTTCTATCCCCACGGCAAGCGCTCGCTTTGTGGCATCGCCGTGCGTGCTTTCTGCTTGGGATGCGCCATGGCTCTCGGCGTCGTCGGTACGGCTCTGCTAGCATACAACGGCAATCATCTATGGCGGCCTTTCATGTTTCTCAGCGCGCTGTCCATGTTCCACTTCCTCGAGTTTTACACGACGGCCGCGTACAACACCCCGGTCGCGTACATCTCCTCGTTCCTCCTCACCAACGGCGACCAATACCGACAAGCCCATACCATGGCCTTCATCGAGACTCTGGTGACTTCGTCTTTCTTTCCCGATTACCAATCGACAATCCACCCGCCGTGGGTCATCGCGCTGGGCATAAGCATGGTCGTGGTGGGACAAGCTGTGCGCAGCACAGCGATGATGCAGGCGGGTACCAACTTCAACCACCAAGTGCAGTCGCGTAAGAGCGATGGGCACGAATTGGTGACCCATGGACTGTACCGCTACTTCCGTCACCCCTCGTACTTCGGTTTCTTCTGGTGGGGCATCGGCACACAGGTCATGCTGGGTAACGCTGTCTGCTTCTTGGGATATACAGGCGTGCTGTGGTATTTTTTCATGACACGCATTTCACGTAAGCCTTACACACCCATGGCCCCAGTCAAGCTGCTCACCCATCCTAGACGAAGAAAAACATCTAATCGAGTTCTTCGGCGAAGAGTACAAGGTGTACAGGGCAAGAACTCGTGTCTGGATACCCTTCATGTAAGCGTCAACTGTGCAGCTTCCGGACAGTTTGGTCGTGCCAGCTAAGTAAAATGAATCTCATAATGCTAAGCTTCACTTCACAACCGAGTCACTTTCCGTCTGGATATATGCAACCTGTGAAGCTCTTTCGTGTTCATTTGCAAGCCAAGAGACGTGTCTGAGCATACGCAAATGAGCTTGTGTCATATTGACGGACTATCTGCATTCTCTTCACCATCTGCCGCTTGTCTCCTCGGCTCAAAGCGACTACACAATCATGCTTTAATGCCGCACTGCTGGTAGGAGCTCCCTGCTCGACCGTAATAGCCGTATGGCCAGCTTGCGTCGCTATATCGGCAATGTATCGAGGTGGAGTGCAAGTATTCTCACTTGCACAGCATTCAGCTTCGTCTTCATCACTGCCGTCTCATTGGCTGTAGGCTACCGCCAGGAACGGCAACCGCGTGTGGGCGCTCAGACTGTTTTTGTCTCCTGCTCTGTAACCCGACGTCCCCCCAACGGTTGCCCACGCCAACGCAGCACGTCTTGTCTCATGCCTGGCGAGCCCCATCCACGTCCTCGTATACGTAACAGCGAGGACAAACTCTACCAATCCTGCCTCGACGCCTGCATCGAGGGTATCGCGAATATAACGGTGAACAAGCGGATTGGTGGTACGTGCAGACTCTCTCACCTGCTCACGCGCCCTGCTCCACTAACCTTTCCCCAGCGACATCCACTCCGAACAACACAGTCAACATCAAAATCACTGCGCACGAGGGCAGTGATCTTGTAAGAAAGTCTGCTCCGGCTGCGCTCTCTCTTATATCGCCACCTGTATCGCCCGCGCGGGAGGAAGTCGTACGACACACCAGTCCACCTCCACTGTCGTCTGCAGCCATAGACATGGATCGCTCGAGGTACATGATCGCACCGCCGGCTGCCTCGCCATCTGGGGACGCACGCAGCAATCTCGCTGTTCAACCTGCAGCTTCTGCTGGCAAGTTGAAGCTCAAGAAGAACGCCGTCAAGATAGTCGGGGCTGCGGGACCAATTCCTACGACCCCGTCGCGATTCGCACCGCCCGCCCCGTCAGTGACATCATCGCCAGCTCCAGGCTCAGTCAAGACCATGCCCCAGGCTGTTGAAGGGTACGCATTACTACTTAATCCTTGGACTCCACTAATGTGCGTACAGACCAGCGAACGCCAGTACCTCTAGAGCGTCCAAGCCCGGTCCCCTTCACAAAGAGGGCGCAGCACTTGCTTTGACTGCTCCTACATCGAAAGTGGTTCCGTCCACCAAGGAGGTCGTGAGAGCTACAACTGATGCCATGGACGAAGAATCCGCAATGGATGCACTTTACGCTCGCCTTAACAGCAAAACCATCCTAGGGCCTCGCACACCCGTAGGTCCCACGGTAGCAAGACCTGGCCAAACTGCATTCTCGTTTGGTGCACGTCTTGCTGAGGCCAAGGCAGATAAGATCAAGACGGATGATTCAGAGGCTGAGAAGGGAGGCATCCAGAAGTCTCCCGGTAGCAAGACCGCAGAACCGAGACAAGACAAGCTAGAGAGTGAGTACATGCGTAAGGCGACTGAGTACATCCAGGCGCTTCCGAACAGCACGGGAAACACGGCATATCTCGTCAAGGCCATGTCAAGGAAGCTCCACGACTCATACACGTCAACCACCAAGGTAGATGCTGGAAGCAACGAAGCTCTCAAGGCACGTCTAGCATTCGCAGTCGCCAACTATCTCAATAAGATATTGAAGAAGCGCCCGGAGTCACGTACAGCCGACTCAATCAAACAAACGCTTGGGGATATGGATGGAGATTTTCTCCGGCTGTGTGCCAAGCTCGTGGACGAGGGGTACGTCTCCTTGGAGACACTGACTGAAGTATCTGGTATCGTCGCCGCCATGCGTGATGTTCTGCCCAAGCCAGAGCAACCTACCACCACGTCGGTGGAAGCGCCTTTGACG